TACATCTTACTCACTAACTAAACACAATGCAGGATGCAACAAGTTCACAGGAAAGGTGTTCATGTGCATTGATGAAAGTTTTTGATCATTCCCTCAGGTCAGTATCAGCATTTATTTCAGAATATTGATTTCTGGGGTGTGAGGTGAAAATGAGATTCAGACTCTATGTCTCTGCTGATACTGAGGTCATGAGCTGGTGTAGATTTAGAGTAAAATGTGTAGCCTATTCCCCAGGCTCTTCTAATCAAACTTCCTAACAGTTAAATTCAGGAAACTTATGGGAGATGCAAAACGACAAATTGGCGCCCATTGGCTCTGATTTATGACTATCTCTTAGCTCACCCAGACTTATGTTGAAGGCATATGGTGGGAAGCTTGCAAACATGTGATTATTCCAACATCCCCTTTCATCTGATCATGCAGAGAGACAGCAAGACACATTGTCCCAGTTTTTCTATTGTCCCAGATCTCAGGCTATGGTGTAACAGCAATAATCTTGAGGAAAAAACTGTGTAATATAATAATAATAATAATAATAATAATAATAATAATACATATGTTATACACCATTATATATTAATTATACTAAATGACTGCTGCCATTTCTGAAAGGGTCAATGCTGTCAGCTTTGTAATATATTTTGAGGTATATGGCTTAGATGAGTAGAGGCTCACATGACAGGGATACATTGTGATAAATCTGAGTTGCGGTGAGTGTATATGCTGCTGGAACACCATTGGGTACAAATGCTCCTCCTGCATTCGTCTCAATGCAAGCAGCCCTACTCACTGGTCTACAGCCTTCATTACAGCCTGTTAGAAAATCTAAACAAAAGGAGCCGCTTTCCCTACGTACCCCCCGGTATACATCCAACCGTGTGGCGATACTGTATGATGTCACTATGCGCTAATACAGACCTTTTTAAGTACTGGTAAAATTGGACTAAACACCAGAAAAAGAACACGATTGATTAAAATTAATATATAAATATTAATTCATTATTTCCTTAGTTTTGGAATTATTTGTTACAAGAGCTAGGATTTTACTGTGCAGCAGCTGTGAGACCATCTGGGTCTAACTGATTTATTTTGAATAATTTAGGAGCATAAGAAAGGAGCAACACACATCCCGACTCTGCCGTCATGCTAATCCCCCCCCCAGCACCAGCCCACTCCAACCCCGACCCCCCCTCCGGCGTCTTACTGCCCTCTGATTTTTCACCACACAAATACTTCAAGCACAGACAAAAACTGGACAGACTTTTCTTCAAAATATGGCCTTAAGATATGTATAAATCTCTAGTTCTTTTTCTTCACACTCTGGACAGATTTAGACATTTCATTACTGGATGAATAATGCTCTGTCTCAATGAAATGTCCACCACAGTATATTCTCATTCATATGATATATTCAGGTACAGTAGCGTTCTTCAATATCAAAGGCAAACAAATTTTATCTACCAATGGAATGTAACTGGCAAATGACAACTGGAAAAGGGGATTTGCCTGTTCCCGCTGACCCTTTAGCCGACAGATTTTTTTATTCAGGGGAGCTAACTGTAATTCTTGCATGTGCACGCCCCAGTCTGCCTCTGACTTAATGTCATGTCCTGGCAGGACGCCGTGATTGGGATCACAGCTTGACCTGTGCTCGAAAGCCACTATTGAAGTGCGTATTCGAAAGGTGGCGAATTTTCACAAAACACGAAACTCTGGAGGATGCTGGTCTGCAATAAAAACGTCAGGTAATTCTCCCACACAAATGACAACCCGTTCAGCTCTTCTCCATTATCGTTGTTAAGCTATAACTGGGTCAAATTTTAGACCTAAGAGCCTAGAGGTCATGAGCTTGTAAACATATTATGCCATATGGCCCAAAATGCACACGGTGCCCCAAGTGATGTGTTACTCAACATCCTGTAGGACGTTAAGACCTCCAAGCTTGGCCAAACGGCACCTCGCGGGCAGATCGCAGGCACATCCGATGGCAAATCGTGACGCTGTTTGGAACACTGCGGCGAGATCCTCACTGCTCTCTAGCCAGCAATCTCGGCCTCTTTGTGCTGAACGGAGCCCCAGGGGAGGGCCATGGCAAGCAAGCATCGACGCCCCCCCCCCCCCCGCCACACCTTCCACGGAGCCACCCAAGGCTCAGATCAATACACGCATCCTGCAAAGCCAGCCCTTCATTTGTCTCCTGTCAGCCGAACGGAAGCAACTAATTCATTCCTTGGCGACAGGGCTTGTTCCATGGAATCCCTGCATTAAGACTTTTCAGCATTAGCGGCTCTGTCATAACTTACTAGCCAAATGGCCGGGCCCTGTTTACCAACACGTCGTCTAACGCCGAACGTCCTTCACAGAAAGGGATCACATGCTGTGTTCGCCTTCGGATATCCAGTTACGCACAGCGCAATATAATAACGCTTCTTATTCAGGAAGTACGCCGTGTCACCTTGTACAGAAATGTCACTCACCCCAGTTATATACACGCTGCCATGATATTGGAATGCATTGAGTAGGCATTACCTGCAGTGTCTTTTCTGACATAAATGGAGTAAAAGCAAAACACACAAGTACTGGCCCCTTTGGTGGGACACCACTTAAACGTAACTTGCCTGCCGTTTAACCTCCGTCTAGAATGCAATATCTATGGCTATCGCAAGCTGTAGAAAAGATGCTGTTTTGCAAGAATGCATGGAATTGCTGTCAAATGAATAAAGACACTGTTCCTCTCTCCCTCTCTGAAATGTCAGTTAGAATAAATAATTTATTAATATCATGGGAGAATAATGCCGCTTCCCCACCCAGCCTTTGCATATAGATGCTGACTTACCCCCTCCTAGGTGACAGTCCTCAGCTCCTTGCTTTTGCTCTCGTTCTCTGTCTCTTGCTGCTCGGATACAGAGCTACCCAGCATCAGCACCACCACCAGTCCCACCGCATGACATCATCCCCGAGTCCTGCCATTGGACGAGGAGGATGCCGACTCCTGATGGGCCTGCAGCCACCCTTTACAAAATGAGTTGAAAAGGATTTGCCTGTTAACTCTTACTTGTCCTCTGCAGAGTTATTTAAGAGAATGAGAAAAGGTTTGTACATTAGCAATAGCAAGCTACATGTTCATATCTAGGGTTACATAAAATGGCTGCACAAAGGGACCATCTGAAATATTACTGCACATTGTATTTTTTCATAAAATAACAAATAACATAGATATTAAAGCTATACAGTGCAAAATATAAGGTATGCAATGCTTAAAAACTATTTACTGAGATAAGAGCATGGTTTGTTCCAGCTTGTAAAAGTCATCAAATTTATTAGAGGGGTGTCTGTAAGATTATGATACAGGTTTTTCACAACCAGTGTGTCCCTTCAGATCCATATAAATGTGAAATGGTTGATAGCTGGGTGATTAGACTGCATGCCTGTTATGCTGAACAGTCTCTGAATAGTCCTTTACAGCTGCCCATCTGTTCTCCTGGTTCTCTTCCAGTGTCTCCAGCTTGTATGACTTTGTTATACACATACCGTCATAACAACGTCCAGCAAATCTGCAATCTGGATCTAGTCTTTAACAGCAAGTCGACAGCCAAAGCAATAACTTTTTTATGGATTTTAGTTTTTTTTTTTTTTGATCATCCAAAAATATATTACTGTGACAAATGAAAACAAAATGTAAATGTATTGTTCATGTCATGCTAATTGCCACCACAAAGCATCTCCCCTGCTTGAATGCATTCAGCATATACCCCACCCTACTGTATCTATCCTGTATCCTGAACAGTAGGCTTTCAATGCTCTCACAATTCATATATGCTTATCGGATCACACTTCAAAAAATAAAAATAAATGAGATTCACAAACTATATATATGTGTGTGTGTGTGTGTGTGTGTGTGTGTGTGTGTGTGTATATGCCGACTCCTGTTGTGTAAGTATCACACAAAATAATGATTCTAGTTGAATCGTGATATTACTGGAATTTCTCATTTTTGTTATCTTATTATACATGCATAATTTTTATATGCATGAGATTATGGTTTAAGAAAACAATGTGTATGTCCTTCTTCAACGGACCTCAGAGCACACACTGCTTAACTGCTTTTCTGAAAGATGTAAGTAACCATGGTTACCGGCACCACCTGTCCACAGTGGTTTAATCATGAAGTGCCCAGGCCAGACATAAAGCTGCTGGCGAAATGACATTGATTCTGCCGTTTCTGCTAGATCATGTCCCAGTGAAGCATCAAGGCTCAAACCTAAGAATGTAGCCCGTTCTGTGTAGGTGTTAGAGGGATGTGCCTGGGTTTGACAAATGAATGTCAGAGGTATGTTTGGTTACAAGGCATGTGGAAAATTTAAATCACCCAGGAATGTATGCACTACTGCAAGATATGCTTACTGACCACCTAATGAGGGGTACGAAGGACACAGAAACCTTGGACGGTAACTGGGGTCAAGGGTCACTTCTGCTGGAACATTCTTAAGGTATACCGTAACAGCTTGTGCCACAGACAGGAGTGAAAATTTGAACTAGCTGAACTAGCTGTATCTGATCAATTTTTGCCTTACTTTTCTCAGAGATCCTGGTAGAACCAGGGTAAATATTTCTATATCTAAAAATATCTGCTTCATTTTCAGTACTCAACCCCTTCTAACAGTAGCAGTTACCCCTTCTACTTACCCTTTGATTTCTTGCTCGAGATGTAAATAGCAAGGATGTACATATGCAATGTGAATATGTGTAAGTATGCAATAAATGGGGGAGGTACACATTATAAAACAAGTGTAAACTGCCCCCCCTAGAATTAGCACATCTTTCATAGATAGGACTGAAAGTGTTGTGACGAGTATTTGTCAGAAATTAGCACTTAGCATTATGTGCAGAGATTAGGGCATAGAATTACGCTTCGGAGTACAGAACCTAGCATTATGTCAGAGACCTTAGAGTATAGCACCTAGCATTACAGTACAGCACCTAGATTTATGTCAGAGACCTTAGAGTATAGCAGTTAGCATTACACCAGAGACCTTAGAGTACAGCACCTAGCATTTTGTCAGAGACCTTAGAGTATAGCACCCAGCATTAGAGTACAGCACTTAGCATTATGTTAGAGACCTTAGAGCAGGGGTCACCAACATGGTTGCCAGGGTGCCCCCAAGGACCACATGAGTTGCCCGCGGACCTGTTCTAAAAATAGCACAACTCACCAGTGAGCAGCATATAAAATGTAATTTTATCCTGTTGCTATTCTTCTTTAATCATATTTGCATTTATATAGATTTCAAAATGACAATATCTAAAAAAAGCATTTAAAACATATTTGTTATACATGAAGATTAGATAAGTTTAGGAGGGCATTTCAAACTGGTAGCCCTTCGTATGGCTCAGTACCTGTGAAATAGCTCTCAGTTTCAAAAAGGTTGGTGACCCCTGCACTAGAGTACATCAGTTAGCATTTTGTCAGAGACCTTAGAGCATAGCCCCCAGCGTTAGGGGTCTGATGAGCCACACCTGTTCTAAGGTAAATACCAGGAACAGGTGCACGTGGCTCATCAGAAGCCAAGTGGGTATAGCAGTATACCCACCTTTGAGTATAGCAGTTAGTATTATGTCAGAGACTGTAGATTATAGCAGTTACCATTATGCCAGAGACCTTATTGTACAACAGTTAGCATTATGTCATATACTTTGCAGTATAGCAGTTAGCATTATGTCAGAAACCTTATACAGTAGTTCAACAGTTAGCATTATGTCAGAGACATTAGAGTACAGCAGTTAGCATTATGTCAGAGACTTTAGAGTATAGCAGTTAGCATTATGTCAGANAGCAGTTAGCATTATGTCAGAGACTTTAGAGTATAGCAGTTAGCATTATGTCAGAAACCTTATAGTACAACAGTTAGCATTATGTCAGAGACCTTACAGTACAACAGTTAGCATTATGTCAGAGACCTTACAGTACAACAGTTAGCATTATGTCAGACACCTTACGGTACATCACCTAGCATTATGTCAGAAACCTTAGCGCACAGCACCTAGCATTATATGGCAGAGATTAATGCTTAGCTTTATTTTCCAGAGTGCAGAACTTGCCATTATGTTTCAGATGTTAACGCTTAGCATTATATGTCAGAGACTGGTGTTTAGCATTGCATCTCAGTGCAGCACATGGGATGCACAGTAGAGAGGAAACTGGAAGCTCGACACTCATGACACACACAGAGCCTCTTGCCCAGTGCCGGTGAGGTCATCCAGCCGGCCAAAGAGGGATGAGGGCAGAATGCCTCCCACGCCTTCAGAGCAGCAGGGCATGGAGCAATGGTGGGGGCGCAGAGGAGGGGGATCTGGGCGGGGGGGGGGAAAGGGATGGTGAGCAGATGGAGAATTCAAGCATTTGTTGGGGGGGGGGGCTTAAAAGGGGTGGTGTCTGCTTTCATTGTCATTGTCTCCCACCTTTTCTGCTCACATGCCACTGACTCAAACACAACATGAGCCCTTTACTGGTACCGTGGATGATATCAAGGACACAAATATGCTGCCTGACACGCTTACCTAGCAGAAGATGGGAAAGAAAGAGAAAGAAGAGATGTCTCATCGCTGAGAGCCACCCTCTAATGATGTCATCTCCAGCCAATTGAAAATCAGTTCACGGGATTCTGGCTGGTTTCCTTAGCTCTGTGCGGTATCGCTATCTGAATTTCTCGCAGCATCTAATTTTGTGACATGAGCGAAGTATAAAAACATTGCAGTTCAGATCTACTAGAGTAATTTCAGTAGTTTAAGGCTCACATCCAAATGATCTCATATGGCCTTTGTGCTCACAGTGATACTGAGCCGAATACTAAATTCGCCAGTGCTAATAATCTGTCCAATACAAACACAGTGTAGCCTGAAGGCATCTTCAGGTATAAACAAGGCAGGACCTATTAAGTCTGACATCATCCTTTGTCTGTTTCATGGTGATATCACCCTTATATTGATCTCCAAGCTAATGGCTCAGAGCGCATTGCACAAATTCTTGTTTCCTTTATCTTTTCAAAAGTCTTTGGCCCTCATTTCTTCAAGGGTGGTTTCTGAAAGGAAATCCAGACTTACTTTCTGTTTCATCTAACAAGCATTGCTGTCGCAGACTTCATCAGGAAGTGAACAAATGACTGAGTACCCAAAATCAGACCACGCATTTTCCGAATCCCTGAAAGCATATGAGTGACAAACTGACATGCAAGGAGTGCAAGTATGAACTCCGGCAAACAGTCAAAGGCATGAAACAAGCTGGAACTGTAGTTCAGCAGTACCTGTGAGGCACGTTGGGTGTGGCAGGGTAATCAGACACTTAAAGCTTACAAACCCCAGTCGCAACCAGTTACGGCCACCAGAATGTCCCTCCCAGATGCTGAATGCTTATTACGGCCGGTTTGAGCTTGCCACTGAAGATCCCCCAGAGCCATCTCCTGCAGCACTGCATGACTTCAGTCTCTGAGGATTGTCTCTGTGGATGAGGTGATGGGGTCTTTCAAACAAGTCAACATCTGCAAGGCAGCTGGACCAGACAGAGTTTCAGCCGGTGTTTTTAAAACCTACAGCAACCAATCAGCAACTGTTTTCAGTGACATTTTAATCTCTCTCTGGGTAACTCAACAGTCCCCACCTTCTTTGAAAACACCACCATTATCCTGTCCCAAACTCAAGTGAACTGCACTAATGACTAACATGCAGCGGCACTTCCTCCCGTTGCAGTGAAGTGCTTTTATAGGCTGGTGCTGGAACATATTACAGACATCATCCTGGACAGTCTACACCTCCTTCAGCTTGCCTGCCACCACATGACGTCCATTGAGGATGCCATATCCCTTACATTCTGCACCACTCTGGACAAGGGAAACTATTAAGCTTGGCTATTATTTGTGGATTTAACACTGTCAAACTATCCAAACTGACTACCAAGCTAACAGCAAACTGGAAGCCTGGTCCTCAGCACCAGCACT